TTTGTTTATTCATATCTTCATTAATTTAATTTTTCCCTCTGCCCGATACTTTTTTTTTTTTAAAATTCATTTTTTTTTTGTGAATTTTAAAAATATGTTTACCAACACTTATTTTCTCTATTTTCCTTTAACCAATTTTCCATTTCTCTAAAATAAATTAAATTTTTTTTCTAATTAATAAATGCATACATAACGTTTTCATTTTTTTTTTTCCAAATCTAATAAGATTATCAATTTCAATACTTCGTAATAGAGAAAATGGTCAAACAAGTCATTAAACTTATTAATAATTATTTTTTCTAAATAATTGTTTTAAATAATTATTTAAAAAAATATTTTATATTTAGGGTGATCTGTTAGAAACCTACAAAACATGCAAATTAGACTAATTGTATGAAATTGATTAGTTTAGCGATTTAATTGTAATTTTTTTTAGTTTAGTGGTCTAATTGCATTATCGTGTAGTTCGATAACTACCTATTTAACCCTTATTATATTCCTAAAATTAAGTACCGTGAGCACTAAGTTACTGTGATTTACATCTTTTCACATGCTCTGCTGGGTTAGGGTCTGGAGAACCCTTGGCGTTAAGGATTCAACCTTTTGAGAGAAGAAAAATACATATACATAAAATTAATTTCTATTTTAGTTTTTTTTTTATTGTTACATTTTTTTTTTTTTTTTTTTTTTGGTTATCGAGTTCAAAATCAATTAGAATTAGTTTTTAACTATTGAAGATGTATTACTTTTAGTTTTAGTTATTCCGTATAAAGTAAACATTTTCACTATTTTATGATCAAGTTTAATAGACTTTGAAGTCAATGACAAAAAATATAATTAATTCTAATACATCCATATATCCACACATAATTTTTATTTCAGAAATAAAATAAGAAATTGGTAATGAAGCATAGCGAAAGTATAATTAATTCTAAACATCCATCCAAACCTATAATTTTTATTTCAAAAATAAAATAAGAAATTGGTAATGAAGCATTAACCAAGTACGGAGTAACAAATATTTTGAAACAAACGAGCCAAATTCCATTAATGACGTAACAAATTCGAAATATAATCAGGTGGGATGACAGTCCACACCTCTGAGACAGCCGAAGAACTGGTCACCCGAGCTAACTCATGAGCCGGAGTAACAAATATGATTGAATATGATGTGATGAAAAATAATTAAATAAGAAAGTAATTTTTTTAAAATAATATTTTGGTGAGGTCTAAAATGGTCCAAAGAGGAAGCAAGACTTTGGTGGATCTCCTCCCCTATCCACTCAATATAAAATGAAAAAGATGCCAAATGTAAGTCAGAATTTCTATACTCTATAATTACCAAATTATGAACATATAGTTCAGTGATTTGTGAATACAGAGTTCAACAATTGGGAATATGAACATTGAAAATTATGAACATAGAGTTTTGTAATTGTGAATATAGAGTTCAATAATTATGAATCTATAGTATAAAAACTATGAATCTATAGTATAGAAATTATGAATTCAATTCCGTGTGCACCATGCTTGGCGTACGCAGTTGCACAGCATAATTTGCCATTTGAATCCAATTATTATATCATGGACCAGAATTCACGTGGATTCGTGTCTAAAATACACAATTTACATACTGAATGTTCACAATTTACCTTTTACAAAATTATGAACATTCAGTATGTAAATGGTGTATTTTCGACCCAGATCCACATAATAATTTACATGAACCAGTTAGTTATGGGCAATGGTAGCAGATTAACCTCATCACCCAAAATATATATATATATATATATATATATATATATATATATATATATATATATAAATTTATTAGATTAGATTGGAAAATTCTAAATTTACTATACCCTCCGAAAATATTATTTTTGTCATATGTTTATCCACAACAACTGTCCCACCTAAAATAGGTGTCTACAATCCAGTGAGGGAATTAATCACTGTGTTTGACGGTGGAAACCTTGAATATACCCAAAAAGAAAATCCATATCTTGGGTACGAGATTAATCAAATCTGAACTTGATCAATCCTAATTCGGGATGATGAGAATATATTTTCTGTATTTAATGAATTATGTCTGAGAGTACATGGAGCGAATATATAGAGATGATAGATAGAATCTTAGTCTAAAATGAATAATATAGTCCTAGTCTAATATGAATAATAGAGTCCTAATACTCCCCCTCAAGCACGAGTTTAGTCAGCCAAAACATTAAGCTCGAAAACGAGTTAATTAAAACGTACAGACGAAAGAGACTTACTAAAAATATCCGCTATATGATCTTTGGTAGAAATAAAATTGACTTGTAATTCCTTTTTTGCTACTTTATCACGAACAAAGTGGTAGTTGATCTCAATGTGTTTGGTGCGAGCATGAAACACCGGATTAGCACATAGATAAGTAGCACCCAGATTATCACACCAGAGTTTGGACGCAGAAGGTGGCGCAAACCCGAGTTCCTTCATCAAAGAGACAAGCCAAGTAACCTCTGCAGAAACATCAGCGAGTCCTTTGTATTCTGCCTCAGTTGAGGAACGAGCCACAGTACGCTGCTTTCGACAAACCCATGAGACAAGATTGGTCCTCAAAAACACAGCAAAACCACTAGTAGATTTTCTATCATCAGGATTGCCAGCCCAATCCGAATCATAATATGCATGAATATCCAGAGAGGAAGAAGGAGTAATTTTAAGACCGAGATGTAGTGTCTCATTTACATACCGTAACACCCTCTTGAGAGCCGCCCAATCCGCAGTAGAGGGAGAGTGCATGTGCTGACACAAACGATTGACTGCATAGGAGAGATCAGGACGAGTTATCGTAAGATATTGCAGAGCACCTGCAAAGCTGCGATACTGAGTGGGATTAGCATATGGCACCACGGCACCGGTCTCAGCCTTCGCGGTTGAAACCGGGGTGGCCACAAGCTTGCAATCAACCATACCTGCTCGTTTTAAAATATCCTTCATGTACCGTTGTTGAGACAGAAGCATGCCACTAGACAACAGAATAGTCTCAATACCTAGAAAAAACAAGGGCACTCCCATATCACGAACTTTAAATTCAAGAGCCAGCTTGCCAATAAGATCAGTCACAAGAGCCGAATCAGAACCCATGACTAAAATATCATCCACATAGACCAGAAAATATAGACGAGTATTGCCACGTAAATATATAAATAAAGAGACATAAGTTTTGGAAGGTGAGAAACCAATAGAAACCAGAAAATCATGCAAATGCGTGAATCAGGCGCGTGGAGCTTGTTTAAGCCCATATAAAGAACGTTGAAGGAGACAAACGTGCCCGGGCATCGTTTTGTCTTCATAGTCAGGGGGCTGACGCATATAAACCGTCTCAGCAAGGTTGCCATTTAGGAAAGCATTGTGAATGTCTAACTGTCGAATAGTCCATCCATGAGAAATAGCTAAGGATAAGAGAAGTCGTACCGTAGTCGGTTTAACCACGGGACTAAAAGTCTCAAAGAAATCCTCACCGGCAACTTGATTGAATCCCTTGGCAACTAATCAAGCCTTGTAACGCTCAACCGAACCATAAGCTTTTCTCTTAGTTCTAAATACTCACTTGCAGCCAACCACATTTATACCTGATTTAAAAGGAACGACCCGCCATCTATTGTTGTGCACCAAGGCATTAAATTCCAAATCCATTGCATCCCGCCATTCAGGAAATTTGACTGCTTGAGTAAAACATGTCGGCTTAGTAGTGATATCAGTGGATGGAGCAACATGATCATGCAGCCCCGAGCTCCGCGTATTCATCCCGTGAGACCGAACGGGTGAGGTAACGGGACGAGATCGACCACGGGGTCGACCTCTCGGCCGAGCAGGTGGCTGGTCCGTGACTGTCCACTCGGACTCGGTCACTGACGGCTCAGCAGAGGCGGGCTGATCGCTGTGCTGGTCGGACCTGGCTACGGGGCACGGCAGGTTGATCATCAAAGGCCGAAACAGTACTCGGCTTACCACGAGACACAACCGACGCAACACCCCATGGCTCCGGGCGTGGTACGGGTACCTGCGAGTCATCAGAAGCAACAAAAGGAAAGACAGTGTCATCGAATCGCACATGGCGACATATATAAACCTTGTTAGTATTAGTGTCTAAACAACGATAGCCACGAAAAGATGGGGGATATCATAAAAAGACACAAGGAGACGACCGAAATTGTAGTTTGTTGCGATTATAGGGACGCAGGTTAGGAAAACATAAACACCCAAAAACACGCAAGTATGAATAAAGGGAGGAGACTGATGCAAGAAATAATGAGGAGATTTATCAGATAAGACACGAGTGGGCATTTTATTAATGAGATACACAGCAGTTTCGAAGGCATAATCCCAGAAATGAGACGGAACAGAGGACTGGGCCATTAGCGCCAGTCTTGTTTCGACAACATGGCGATGCTTGCGTTCTACTATGCCGTTTTGTTCATGAGTATACGCACAAGACTGCCTGTGACAAATACCCAACGATGCGAGAGTCGAACCAAGCTTTTTGTATTCTCCCCCTAAATCAGACTGAAAAGATAGAATTTTACGAGAGAATGAATGCTTAACAAGTGACCGAAACTTATCAAATATCACATACAAATCAGACTTAGCCCGCATAGGATAATACCACATGCGAGTGTAATCATCCACAAATAATACAAAATATTTAAAGCCATTTGCAGAAAGTATCGGCGCAGGGCCCCAAATATCCGAATATATTAATTCTAAAGGATGCGAACTAGTAGATTCAACACGCGATAAAGGAAAACGAGACGTGACAAGAGGAACAAATATTGGGCAGATCATTAGGATTAAAAGAACTAAGACTAGACGAGCCTAAAATTTGACGCAAGACCCGAGAGTTTGGATGCCCAAGCCGCATATGCCAAACGAAAGAGGATCGTGCAGCAACAAAAGCAGCGGGAGCTGGACGCGAGATAGGCCAGACATATAAACCCCCAGACGCATGCCCCTTAAACAGGGTGTTCCTGGTTGTAATGTCCTTCACAAAGAAACACAAAGGGTGAAACTCAAAAAAGACATTATTTTCTTGAGTAAAACGTTGAACAGATAACAACGAAGAAGATAAACCAGGAAAATGCAAGACATCAGACATACGAAACGACTTAGAATCAGTGGCTAACAAAGTAAAACCAATAGTAACAATAGACAAACCTGTACCATTGCCGACCCGAAGTGTCTCCGGACCATCATACGTAGTAGAGGACGTCAATAAGGTGGGATCAGGAGTGGCATGATTTGTGGCCCCAGTGTCGGGAAACCACTTATGAGAGTCATCCATAGAACCTTCAACACCATAAATGGTGACATTCGCCTGAGGATCCGGATCAGGAGTGAAACGATGCCAACATGTCGTAGCTATATGCCCTTGCTTGTTGCAAAGTTGACACCGAGGGCCCGAGTTGGACCGCCCCCGGCCACGGCCACCTCGTCCTCTGCAGTGGCCGCCACCTCCTCGTTTCTGCGGACTGCCACCGCGTCTTCCGCGGCTCACGGCCAAGGCTTCTGGTGCGCCGAGAGCCGCGTCGTCATCCAAACAAATCCATTCCTGCGAAACAAGAAAATCCACAACCTCCGGGAGGGGAACGGGAGCACCGCGGGCTAGGGTTGCCACCAATGGTCGGAACTCTGGGCATAAACCCCAAAACACGTATAAGTTCTGATCATCCAACTCAACATGAAGACCGACGAGAGCCAATTCATCAATCAACATCTGGGCATGACCAAGGTAATCAGATATGGAGGAATCACCTTGATGGAGCCCTTGAAGTTTGCCGAGAAGCCGGAGTGCACGAGAGCGAGTAGACAAACCTATGGTTTGTTCGATTACCTGCCACAAAGTGCCCTTGCCGACGGCGAAGCGAAAAGTCTCCTCGGATAAAGAGGAGATGAGCATGGAGAGGATGGATTTGTCTTGCCGGCGCTACGCGAGCTACCGTGTCGGGAGATCGCAAACCACCGTCGGGGCGCTGTCCGCGATTGATGCCAGTGCCGGCGATGCCGTCGGAAAGGGTGTAGAACCATCAATAAACCCTAGAAGCCCTTGGCGTTCAAGAAACATAAGCATCTGAGTCCGCCAGAATAGATAATTCCGGGAGGTCAACTTTAACGAAACAAAGTGATGAGCCGATGAGAGGCTACCACTCGCAGGCATCGTAGGAATCTCGGTAACAGTCCGTTCAGAGGAACCAAGAACAGAGCTGTCATTAACACCGATATTTTCCATGGATAAACCTAGCTGATACCAGATGAGAATATATTTTCTGTATTTAATGAATTATGTCTAAGAGTACAGGGAGCGAATATATAGAGATGCTAGATAGAATCCTAGTCTAACACGAATAACATAGTCCTAGTCTAATATGAATAATAGAGTCCTATCAGAGATAACTTTTCCAAGAACATTATAGCATACTAGATGAAGAAAAGGAAAAAAAATGCGATATTTGATCAATCATTGTGTTGCATAACTGCATAAGTTGATGTAAAATAGACTAAAAAGTGGAGATCTACAAATACAAATACAATACAAATACAAATCTAATAAGAGCCAATAATGTTAGGCCCTTAACTGAAACAAAAAAATTGTTAGTGTAATTATTTCTTAAAATGAATGGTTCATATTATTTTGATTTTAGTATTTTGTAATGATTTTTCTTATTTACCCTATATTATATTATTTTCTTATCTTAAATAACCCTAAATTCCGTTAGTATAAACTTTAGTAACGGAATATTCCGTCAACTATTTATTATTCTTAACTTACTCATTAATTTATATAAGAAAGGTCTTAGGTTCGAACACATCACAATTAGAGTTGGCATAATTGTTAAAAATATACTACGAATATGTTAAAATGTATGTATATATATATATATATATATATATATATATATATATATATATATATATATATATATATATATATATATATATATATATATATATATAATATAAAATTTAACATAAATTTTTGTCAAATAATTAGCTCGACTAAATACATACCGTTCAAAGTTGAGCATTAAAGATTATAAATCATGAACTTTAAAAATCATTTGATTTTCTTGCATTAAAAAAAAAAAAACAAATTTAGGTTAAGTTTTTTTTTTTTTTTTTTTTTTCATTTAATTAATCTTCTTTTGATTATTTAGAACAAAACTTAATATTTCAATTATGCTTTTGCATTATTGGAATGATTTAGGTCATTATGGTATTAATATTTTTTGTATGTATTTTATAATGGTACAATTGTACATTACTTTACAAATATTATACTACAGAGTATTATTTTTTTAACAGACAAAATTATTCATACATCATTGTCAGCCCTACGCGACCTAACTACAAAGTTGTTGATCATAAACACAATTACACATGGACTCTAAAACGGTAGGACCATTTTCCAAAGAAATGACAATATTGGCATTCCACTGGCTCCAATTGAACAAGTTTACACATCAGAATTTTTTTCAATGCATGAAAACTTCTAAATAAATTTGTAAGTTAATTTTTACTATATCATTATAACAATATCTATTGTAACCATATATTTTGAATTATTTATTATCATCCTACAGGAATTGTAACAATTGTCATTGACAAACTCTCAAAACAATTTATTTCAACAACGAATAGAAATTAAAAAATCAATGATTTCATTATTATTAATGAAAAGTATGTACGTCACTTTATTCAGAGCTATATCTGGGCATGTCTGCCCAAGGCTCCCAATTTTTGGGGGCCCCATATTAATTTTTTTTTTTATATCTACACTTTTAATAAGAGCGAATAATGTTAGGCCCTTAACTGGAACAAAAAATTGTCGGTCCTATTGTTTCTTAAAATGAATGGTTAATATTATTTTGATTTTAGTAATTTTCAATGATTTTCCTTATTTACCCTCTATTATATTATTTCCTTCCCTAAAATAACCCTAAATTCCGTTAGTATAAACTTTATTAACGGAATATTCCGTTAACTATTTATTATTCTTAACATACTCATTAATTTATATAAGTAAGGTCTTAGGTTCGAACCTTATCCCGATTAGAGTTGGCATAATTTTTAAACATATATTATGAATATGTTAAAATGTATTAAAATATATATATATATATATATATATATATATATATATATATATATATATATATATATATATATATATATATAATATAAAATTAAACATAAACTTTTATCAAGTAATTAGCCCGACTAAATACATAGCATTCAAAGTTGAGCATCAAAGATTATAAATCGGGAACTTTAAAAATCATTTGATTTTCTTGATTTAAAAAAAAAATAAATTTAGGTTAAGGTTTTTTTTTTTTTTTTTTTTTAAAGGGGGTTTAATTAATCTTCTTTTGATTATTTAGAACAAACTTAATATTTCAATTATGCTTTTGCATTATTAGAATGATTTAGGTCATTATGATATTAATATTTTTTATATATTTTTTTGTAATGGTACAATTGTACATTACTTTACAAATATTATACTATTATTTTTTTATCAGATAACATTGTTCTTACATCATTGTCCATATTACAACTAAAATCTCAGTCATATACGCAACAATGCAAATCTAAAGCTTCCTACACCATAATCTCATTGCATGATGAATCCCTCTTTGTTGCCACCAGTAACCTAATGGCACATGACACACTACCAACAAAAAAAATAAAAAAGAAAGAACATGTTCAGTGCATATAGCCCTGACATGGCATCAAAACACTTATAACCTAACCCATGCCTTTAGCAAGATAGTCTAAGGTGGGTTTGTGCCTATAGCATAGTAACCGCTAGGCCTGTACCTTCAGTACAATGACCGGACACTCGTTGTGCCAACCACCAACATTTTCTTTTCCACCAATCACATCTCATCTTTTCTCATCATGGACAATCAATCATAATCAATTAATGATCATCAACAATGTGCACAACAACAGTAGTGGCCACCACTCAATATCAACAACAACCGATACACATTAACACATAGCAAGGGGATGATCAGGGGAAGAGCACAACAATCATATTTCCACATTAACTTGTTTGGGTTGACTTAGCGTTCTTGGAAGTTCCTCGGGGGCTCGTAGGCAGCCAGCCTCGCCCACTGAAGATTAAAACAATGACAATGCTACCCAAAAGAGAATTATGAAGAATTAGAGAAATTTAAACTAAAAATAGTATTTATTTAGACTATCACTTTAAAACTAAGTATTTAGACTAGAGTTATTACAAAATTACAAACATTTATTTTAGTGACAATTATAATCAATCTCTCATATATTATTTTCAATTTATATACTTTAAATTACCGATTTAAATAAACAAATTCAACATTTATTTAGCTATGCATAAACATCTCCTATATAATATTGCATTGATATACTTTAAAATACTTATTTAAAAATAATCATTGGGCATTATCCCATTCGCGCAAAACGCGTAAAAAAACTAGTGTATAGTATATAAGCAGGAAGCAGTTAGGCATTACTGCATTAAGCAAATCTCATAGGTCTATAGGCCGTAACACATCTCACAAATTCCTTCCGCGCAACCCAATTAGTACCATAACTTGATTTAATTACGCATCTATGCAAATCTTACAAATTCCTTCGGCGCAATTCCATTACTCTACTTCTCTCAAAATGTTGAATCTCTAAATCTTGTTGGGGAAAATCGGATAGAATATGTCGTAGACCTGGGGCTACTATTTTTTATAGGTTGAGTATGAATGAATCTTGGCGGAATCGGTGACGTGTGCGAGACACAACCTTAAAAGCAAAAATTGCCCGGAGACGGTTGTAGTCTTACCGGTTGCTTTCGACCAGTTAACACCGAAGCACAGGATTGCAGAAGAGAATAGGAGAATTAGATGAGTGATTAGAACTGAGGAAGAGCATGGTATTTATAGTGTTGGAAATACCCGCCCCTCCTCTCTCAGCCATTCAATGTTCCGCAATTTTAGGGAGAATTGTGGTGAACATGCCCACAAAAATAGGAAGACTTATTCCACCACAAATTAATGTGTGGATGGTAGATTTCTACACAAAATCTACCTCTAAAGGAAAAGAAAACTCGGAATTAAATAAAGGCCGAGTAAAACGCTGACAACACCACGCACGCGACGCGCGTGTCGAGCCGGGCGGCGGCGGCGGCGCGCGCGTGTGGGGTTCCCTTTCCTTCTCTCTATACAATAGTTTAGGCCTTCCAAATGGGTTGGTATTAAAAAGGTGGAAATTAGTCCCTTATTCTTCCAATGTGGGACAAGAGTGTCTTCCTTCTACACACTTGTTAAAACACCATCTTGAATGTAATCTCCAACAATCCCCCACACATTCAAGGTGGCAAGACGAAGACAGAATTTCTGGCATGAGTGCTGATCTTAATGTCAGTGGTTGTACCTTGAACTGACACGTAGTGACTTGAGTAACTTTCTCCTTTGATAGTGAATTAGATCTTGAACTACCGAAAGAAGAGTTAGTTTTGAACTCAGTTCACACACCAGCATTCACCCTGTAAGACAATATATAACTTGGTCTTTATCGTAAGGTCAACTCTTTGACCTGGGACCTATCTCTGAATAGGTGTGTTTAGCTTTCAGGTTTATGTGACCTCGAAGTTTGCTCAATGTATCGCTACTAAGCCCATCTCCCTCGATGTTTCGAGGATGGCTCTTTTGTTTAGCCCCTTCGTGAGGGGATCTGCAATATTCTTTTCGGATTTCACATATTCTGGTGAAAGCACGCCACTTAGAATTAGTTGTCTCACAGACTCATGTCTGACTCTTATGTGTCTCCTCTTACCATTGTAGGCACTATTTTTTGCTACGCATATCGCAGCTTGCGAGTCACAATGTATGGGCACTGATGGCGTAGAACACCCCCACAATG